GAGATCAACCACGAAAATTGTAAAATATATTGATACGTATCCATGTCAAAATTGCACAATATGTAGCAAACATGTCTAAAGGATTTATTTAATATAAAAAAATCAATAATATTTAAAGGAATCCCTTATACGATACATTTTACGCTTACATTGTGAAGTTGTGACATGGTCACGGAGTGGAGTTTTTAATAAGAAAAATTAAATAAAATACGAGCCTTCATTTCTAGAAATTAGTCATTAATCCTCCTAAAACAATAGTAATCAATGCTATGTACTTATAAAAGAAAAAATCAAAAAGTAAATTCTGTGATAAATAAATCAAGTGTGTTTGTCACCTGGTTCTGAGATTTGAAGTTTTTTCGAATACGCGACCAGCACACCACCGCCATGGTTTATGCTATATCGAGTACAGAACACACCATCACGGTCCCTACGCACCACACAATATCTGTCATTAAACAGTTCGGAAGACAGAACAGTGTCATAAAACCATGTTTCGCATAAACAAATTAAATCAAAATTGTTACATAATACAGTATTTTAAATTTCATTAGTTTGGGTTTTTATAGCTCTCATGTTCTATTAATATATTGATACATACATTTATCACTTAAGAAAATCCAAATACGGTACTTACATTACATATATGTAGCTAAAATTAACTTACTAGACTAAGGCTACCTTCATTTCATATTAATATAAACTTAGAGTCATGTTCTTTTCTGACATAAATTCGCCCATTTCTTACACAGAGGAATTTGTATCCAAGGTCCAAACTTTTATACGACTTGTTGGCTGGCGACAAATGCTCTGATACGTACACCGGTGTTTTTTCACCTCCGATTATCAGGAATAAGGCGTTAAGTTTATTATTAGGATTTGATTTATTAAATATATCTATGCACCGCGGAATAGAATTCATCACGATTTTTCTTTGTCGCCTTTGTCTGGGCGGCGAAGTCCCTGATATAAGTCATATGACCTCCGGATTACTATTGGTGGGGAAAGTGTTTCAACAATTTCAGAAACCGTGCCCTTTAAATTCCTTGGAAAAAAGATGGACTACAAAGGTCGTACCCCATCTATGAATGCAATGGTCGATGACTTCATCAAAGACATTGACAAGGTGGACTAACAGCCAATAAGTAACGTAAAAAAAGCTTGGAATTACGACAACTACTTAACATCACGGCTCAACTGTATGAACCAGAACCACTTAAGAACACTGGACGCTAAAGTCGCAAAGACGCAAGTCACTAAGACATTGAAGTCATGGCTCGGACTAACACCATCTGCAGACCCGTCAATATTGTATAGGGACTCGTAAAATGACTACTTTGGAATGAAATCAAAAAGACCTTCGGCACTCTTCAAACACCTAAGAGTTACAAAAATACATATCTTGTCAAAATCACATGACGAAATCGTTAGATCCCTTCCTAAAGACAAAAAAACATCCGAGCTCGCTTCACAGCTCCAATTCCACAATAAATTAATGGTGGATACGTAGTCCAGTAGATTTGAATTGGGAAATGCTAGGAGACAGACAGACAAAGAGCTAACCAAATCTTTCCTACAACAAGCTGAAAACGAGACCTACAAGTTGCACGCAATGAACCTAGAATTGCAGAATAAATAGTTAACTCTAGGTGAATTTTGTATTACGCCAGATTTGAAATGGCGTACACTTTTATACGATTGGTTACCGGCGTTATTAAAATTTTACTTCAACGCCTTTCAATTAACTCTCCCCGATCAAAGCAACCTAGTAAAGTGAGGGAAAAGCTACAGAAAAGGCTTGTACGATGTGCACCGCGGAAATAGGAACAGATAGGCAGTTACTGACAGGTTGTAAGCCCGGGGTCATTATTCACGTCGTCATGATGGGGTGCAATAAGTCATACGCAACGCTATAAGTTTATCACTGGCAACATAAGATAATATAAGAACTAACATCGAGTTTGTAAAGGAAGGCTCAAAACAAAAAAAAACACATAAAAGCCGTACTCAATTATAAATACCGCTAGTGACTGGAAATTATTAGTGGACACGTATGCATGTGGCACAGAATACCGGAGGATATCTGTGCCTCGGCGTCCAGACCAGACATATTTCCTTATGCAATGATAATTAAGCTTGTAGTACTAGTAGAACTCATGGTGCCGTAGGAAACGAACATCCCTAAACCACCATGGTTTAAAAAGAAACAAGTACTTTGTAAATAACTAAAAAGGGTTACTTCGCCGTATTTTATTAATGGTTATGCCGTGGAAGTGGATGCGAGGGGAATACCAGCTGAAAAAAATAGCTTACTTAAATTGACCTTGATTGACCTTGGATTGCCAAGAGCTATAGTAAGCTCTATTCTTGAACGAATATCCAAAGCGGCATTGCTAGGCTCGTTTCAAATATGGTTAGGTAGAGGGGGTAACACACCAGAGAGTGGAGGTGAGCGCTGCCCCGTCGTAAGGAGTACATTTTTTTAAAGCTGGAGACAAAATGAATTATAGGCATAGATCTTTTTTAAACAGGGAAGCGGCACGGTGAATCCATGGAACGCTAAGAAATAGGTCTCATACATTCAAGTGTTTTATCCCCGAAGGGTATACAAATGCGTATTGATTGTCCACATTTTGCCGACTATTACTTTAATCCGACTGAGGTATGATACCACGACTTGGCAGTCAGTAGCAGTAGTCGGGATCGCTACACTAGATCAACAGGCCTGTCTGTATAATATATCAATTAAACATACACACGCACACGCGTCCTCTTTGGCAGCGAATGCTATTTATTGCTTTTTCTGCGTCGTCATCAATCAATAGTTAAAAATTTTGAAAGACTTGTACGTATCTGTTTCATATATCATTTAATGTTTATTTATCATTAAATGATATATGAAACAGATACGTTGTAATGTTTTGAAATGTGTTCTTAGAATTGGCAAGTCATGGGAATTATCGTGTTTAGTCAATAGAGTTTATACTATTTTTATGATAGGACTATACTACAGGACATCTTTATATGCAATATTTATAGGCCCGCTCCGAGCTCGCCGGCCGCTGCCACCCGCGACGGACATTGGCCCGAAGCCGTGACGGCCGCTTTGCCCCCGCATTTCAAACCTCTAATATCTTCTAAAATATTTATTTTAATGATACAGAGCAATTTTAATCTACATTAAATGCACAATTTATCTAAAGTATTTAATTGGATAAGGAGTAATAAGGTATTGTTTATAACAGCTTTGTAAATAACCCATTATTTTTTGTAATATTTAAAAAATAAAATGGTTACTGTGGGTTATCTTTAGGAGATAATCTCGCAGAAGGAGGCGGCGGAGAAGGCCCGGGAGGACGACCTCCACTCGGACCCGATCCGCCGCTGGCGAACCGGGCGGCGGAGGCGCGCTTATCACCGCCTCATGCCGCCCTGAGTGTGGCTGCGGGTGGACGGGGTGGGTTTAGACGCATTAGTTTGGCCAGCCGCGAGGGGGCGGCGTCCGCGTGTGCCGGACGTCGCCTAAAGAGAGGTTAAAATTTTGAGACGGAGCCCGCTCCAGGAGCGGGCAGGCGCTAGGAGGGGTCCGGATGTCTTAACAACAGCTGTTCAAGGATCCCTCCTATTACAGGCGCAGAGTGGCACACCGTGTGGTTTTAGTCGGTCCGAGTCCGACACACCACCCCGCCGCAAACCCCGGTGGGGTGAAGGTCCGAGGGGATTTCCACACGTTAAAAAAAAAAAGGGTTATCTTTAGGAGATAGACATAGACCATACCATATTGTAGATATTTTTAAGGTATGCAATTTCGTAGTACATTATTTTGGTCTATTTCGTAAGGATTAGCCGGCGTTTGCAATGTAAGCGCACAAAACTATGTTTTTAAGACAAATCTTTGAAATTCTCAGATTTTTTCTACTATGAAATGCATGTATTATACATATTAACCTTCCTCTTGAATCACGTCCTCTATTTGTGAAAACCTTTAGGTTGCTTAGTTTAAAAGAATTATGCGTACAACAAAAAAAGCTACTTTATTTTATACTAAGCATGTAAAGATAATCAAAAATTTTCTACTAATCTTCTAACTACTCTAACATCTTTTAATCAATTATGATGATTCAACGAATGCATCTGCATGCATAATGCCGTGCTTCTAGCTGCTATCTTGTTAACAAACAATAATGTTTGTTTGTTCGCATTTTCGTTTAGCAACAACAAAGGACAGAGAGACATAGAGAACTGTCATCCGGAAAAAGATGATCCTGAGAAATGAAAAACTTATTTCTAATAAAATAGGTGCCTGTATGTGAATGGGTAATAATAGCCATCTATATAATAAGGTATAATCCCCAATTAAATTGTCAATCTCGTATCTGATAATGGGTTCTGCCTAAGAGTTACATTTCTAAGAATATGTTTTGCAATAATTTTTGTGCCATTATTGTCCGAGTTACACTTGAGCTCTTGGCAACCTATCAACATGTCCATGGAATTAATTATAAGAAAAAAAATCCTTTCCAAGAAATTTATCCGTTACGAACAAACATAAATATGTTTCAAGATAATTTTCCTTGTTCTATCATATGTATGTATAAAAGATTTTATTTAAAAAAAGAAATGATATGTACCAGGTACAACTTTCCATTATTTAAACAAATAAATGTAATGGAATGTCTGTTTGTAATGTCAAAATAATAGGTTTTTTCATGCTTATACGGTTATTTGTTATACCAGTTTAAATATTTTTTGTTGATCTGTCTGTCTGTTTGTTCCGGGTAATCTTCAAAACGGCTGGACCGATTTTGATAATATTTTACTACCAAGTAGCTCTCTATACGAGGCATGCCTTTTAAGTTTTGTCGTTTGAAGAAAAAAACACACCCAAATCTAAGTTAATTTCATTATTCAGTATTCCAGACCGTGGAACTAAAATTCCGAATACATTTTCAATTATCCGTCATGCTCAGGATAAACAGTAATTAAAAATTCTTCTTGTTTCATTGGACTGTGACTTTTGAATCATCCCTTAGAGCAAAAGCTTCGTCTCCAACAAATACATAAGGAAGCGTTATTCCATTCACTGAACCTGGTTGTGGCAAACTCAGTGTACCGTTAATAAGTTTTTGATAAAAATCTGTATTTATTATTGCCCCACCGTCTGACACTCGGTCGTTTGTACCGAAGTGAAAATAAATCAACTCATAGTTAACATTAGCAATTGCCATAAGAACCTGACTGTGGAAGTGTTTATAATTAAAGAAATATGAACCAGAACCAGGCGGCGGCTTTATTTTAATATGCTTGCCATCAACAGCGCCAAGACAATTCGGAAAATTCCAGCGCTTTTCAAAGTCAGCTCCAATTGCCTTCCATTCATTTGCATTCACAAGGTAACTGAAACAAAACAAATTTCTTTTATTACAGAATATTCCTGTGGAAGAACGTGACGATGGCAAGGAAAATTCTTCTGAGGTACTGTCGCCAAGTCGAACTCAAGATGAAATTTGCCGATAACTTGCCACCCCCACTCACACCTAATGCATTTAAACGGAAGAAATCCTTGCGGGGGTCAAATTCAACAATAGATTTAACTCTTCAAAATATAAACAACAAAATTATGTCTATTAAACCTGATGATACATGCGACATATTCGGAAAAACTGTAGCTTCTAAATTAAAATAATTACCTAAAGATCAACGGATCTTGGCAGAAAAAATTACTGACGAAACCTTGTCAGAAGCAGAACTTGGAAACCTAAGTGGACAGTCCGTGACTAAAATTAACAATATTTTCAATATCGCTTCCCCAAATTGGCAACCTCAAACGTCTCCATACTCTGAACCTCTCATTTCTCCTTACTCTCAACCTCACAGTTCTCCATACTCGCAACCTCAGACATCTCCATATTCTCAGCCACAGACGTCTCCACACTCACAAGCTCAGGCCTCTACATACTCACAGACTTATTTATCTCAGAATATGCCTCCATTTCAACACCAAATACAGACACTACCACAAGAGCAGATTGTACAATTAAATATACCTAATAATCAGTCCTCCCAACCTCAAACTCAACCTGTTCTCGCGATAGCATCTGTCTGGCAAGGAGTAAAGACTCCTTGCCAGACAGATGCCATCGCGAGAACAGTTATCATGTTGATGATTCTAATTTAAATGAATGATATATCTTTTATTGCAGTACATACCTTACAATAGTCATGACATGCTGTTTAATGGCGGCGCACGTTTCTGGAATGATTTTTCCCAATAACTGTGGTGAAATTATCGATGAGTACTTTAAATCTTCATAAGATCGTCCAGTGGCTAGAAAACGCAAAGTTGCACTTAGACGCTCGTGATTACTAACAGCTTGTCTCATGTTTGTATTGTTCTTTTGTATTTTAGGCGATACTAGTTTCAATAATTTTAGGTACGTGGGTTCCGTCATTCTCATATAATTGTGCCAATCTTCTGGATGGAACCTTAATTCCTTTAAAAGATTTACATGCGGATACTGATTTCGCTTTAATAGCCATTTCTTAACCCACATTCTTCATTAATTTTCTTTTGAATCCGAATCAACGCTACCGCCGCATAGGTGAGGAAAAGTTCATTTTCCATGGCACGTATTTAATTATTTGAACACGTCTTTATCCTTCAGCTTCAAACAAGTAAATGATCGATCGTTACGACCAGTCGTTTCGTGTATGAGCGACATTTTTGATGCGATCAATCGTCACGATTTTCATCAGATCGATCGTATAGACGAATCGTACCGTATATGGGGCCCTTTAGAAAGATTCATTTTCGTACGTAACCTGACAGATTCCAATCGATGTTGTGACTAAACAATAGCATTAATCCTAATACATTCAACTGTTTTGAGATTCAAAATTTAAACACATTCGAATATAGAACAGTTCCAAATTCAAAATTGCCGGGAAATATGGAAACGACAGAACTTAAAAGGCATGCCTAGTATAAGGAGTAGCTTAGGCTATTTTTTTCTCTCAGAAAAACCCTATAAAATTTTGCCTGGTCCGGGAATCGAACTCATTAAGGCAGCGCTTTTCAAATTCCAAGCGCACGAAGTCGCGGGCAACAGCTAGTCAGTTTATAAAGTTTTTCTGCTTTAACTATTTCATTAATTAAATCTTAAGATACATTTACAGATTTTACTTTTCTAATTGGTAATCGCTATACATTTCGGTTCATTTCGTGAGAAATGGTTATATTTATGTATTGTTTATGTTTATAAATAGTTTTATTTTACATAGTAACTGCCGGTTGACAAAGGTCCTTAATTGTCGTCTATACGATATGACAATTCTTTACTACAATAAATTATATAATATGTTTCTATACACTATTCTATAAATATATACATATGACAGATAAATAACACCAACCCAAATGATCGTGATCATCACAATAGATCAACAGGTCAGTCCTTTATTTCAAAAGTATTTTAACAAATATGAAGTTTATATGTCTTTTTTTTTACCTGTGGAAACCCCCTCGGGCCGTCACCCCACCTGGGTTTGCGGCGGGATGTGTCGGAATCGGACCGACTAAAACCACACGGTGTGCCACTCTGGGCCTGTAATAGGAGGGATCCGGGAACTAAAGACGCCCGGACGCCTCCTAGCTCCTGCCCACAACGGCGCGGGCACCACCTTCGGGTACAGTCTCTATTTAGGCGAAGTCCGAAGTTTATATGTCTTGGTTAGACTTTTTGTTATTAGCAAAATGAAATACAATATAATTCATTTAGAGGTGCAAGTTTGAAATGCACCTCTAGATGAATAGACGATCTGATGAACTAGGCAGGAGGATATTGCACAAAGGCGGTGCACAATTGTTATTTTATGAGGTATTTAGGCGAGGCATTTGATATTTGAGAATTAAATAAAAATTGTTATTAAAAACTGGGCAACGGTAACCCATAAAGATCTGTGATTTATAATTTCTATACCAAAGTCAAGCCCTAAGTAATCACAAAAATGATCCGTTTGTCATATTTTGTGCTGTTTTAAATTTATCGTTGGCCATCTGATTTATCATCACTATTGACATTCACGGACTTCAGACAGACGCATATAAATCACCAGTTTTACAGTGTTGTTGTGGGTCCGGTCACACCTCGTAATGTTCGTTTTTTGTGGAGTCGTAAAACGTGGATTTGTTTGGGTGCGGTTTTGAGAGACTGCGATGCAGATTAGTGAGAGAGATGGCAGAGATCCAAGTCAGTTTCAACGCATTTGAAGCGTTGATTGTAAATCAATCTTCGCCAAAAATATCTTACGAACTAAGAGATTATTCCAAATATGAATTTCATACAGTTAAATCTCCTAAATAAGTTTAAAGCAGTCCCCAGACTGTTTTAAATGAATTTTCACAAAAAAAACGCAGTAGCATAGGTGCATATGTGATATTTCGAAGACAAACTGTCTTAAATGCAGAAAAGATGCAGTTAGGTATTGCAGTAGGTGCATTTTGGCCTTTTAATGTCGAATTTAAATTTAGTTTTGACTAATTGTGACCCTTTTTTTTTTCCGTGCGGAAATCCCCTCGGATACATATATATCTCGGATATCGGTGGCATGTCGGACTCGAACCGACTAAAACCGCATGCCGTCTCGGGTATTAATAGCCGGGGAACCAGGTATACCCTAGAAAGGAAGTCCCTGGTGCCCCGACATACCTCGGGCCATCTACAGACGAGTAGACGACCCCCCAAAGTAGACGACCCCCCAAACTAATTGTGACCCTAATTTTATTTTAGTTAATTATAGATGACGGTATAAAGGATTCTTCACCTGGCATGCGCTTTTTGGGCGTTAAGAAGAAAGGCTCGTAGCGAAGTGGTTACCGAGTATGTTGAGCAATAATTAAGAAATCATAGCCACAGTACAATATTTTAGGTTTCTGCCGTCCCATGACGTCATTACGAAAGAACAACATGGTTGACTAGCGTTTTTTGGTTGGGCATTTAAAATGTAAAATTGAAATACATTTTAATGCCACTTATCGATTAAATAAATTTAAATACATTTTTAGGTTGTTTGCTGTTCGTAAAACTGTCTAGATTTTGACACGGGACTCGTGTCAAACACAACATACCTATATGTTTTTTTTTTTTTCACAAACTTGTTGAAGAGTACCTAAATATATTACAGTGGCGCAGTCGGTCTGTTTTTTACGTAACCTATTAGATAAATATGTCTTCTATCGGCAAATTATCAGAATTTCAGTTGAGCAGTGGTTCGTGGCTAACGTATATTGACCGATTAGAACAGTATTTTAAAGCAAACGGTACCAAAGAAGAATTGTACGTGGCCGTGTTAATTGCATGTGTGGGTGATGCAACATACGATTTGATGGTTGATTTATGTTCTCCGCGTAAAAGAATTAAAAGAGATTGTCCGGCAACATATTGAACCCACTCCCTCCATTCTGGCCAAGCGATATAAGTTCAGAAAGTGTGTTCAAGCGACGACGGAATCTATCGCACAATTTGCGGCCGCGTTAAAACATTTAGCAAAAAATTGTGATTTGAAACAAAATCCAAATGAGAATCTAAGGGACCAATTTGTTTGTGGGTTATGCGATGAACATACGAGTCAGAAGTTATTTAGTGAGGGCAATCCCACGTATGTATCGGCGTATAAAATAGCAACTATAATGGAAACGGCGGCGATCGACGCAGCATCGGTCGAACAACCAAAAAATTAGGTGACGGCAGGGGCGGTACATGCGTTGAGCACGACGCGCAATGCCGGCCGACCGCCCGCGGCACGAAACCCAACCGGCGACGACCGGCACCTACACCGGGCGCCAGCAGCAGACTCATTCCATGTTTGAGAGGAGCGGTTGTTCTTGTTGTGGCAGTAGGCGACATGTTAAAAATAACTGTAAATTCAAGGGATATGCATGCAGAATCTGTTTGAAAGAAGGATACTTGAAACGTATGTGTCCAAACTAACGTAGAGATAGTAGAGAGAAGCAGGTGTTCCGGTTGGACGTGGAAGCAGAGGAGGAGCCCTACTACGGGTCGTCAACTGAGGAGGAGTATAGTAGTGGCGAGGGTCCGAGTGGCTTGTAGGTATATGGTACAGCTAAGGGGCAGCGACCCCGTCATCGCAGAGGTCGAGGTGGAAGGACGACCTTTACGGATGCATGTTGACACCGGTTCACCAATTTCGTGTATAAGTAACTTGATGTATGATAAACTTTTCGCGAACTTTACACTGAATGAGAGTGAAAAGTATAGCCTAAAAGGATATGATGGAAATTATATTACGTGTTTAGGATATATTGAAGTTAATGTCAAGTATGACGTATTTAATAAAAGGCTTAAATTATACGTAATTTATAGAGGTAGCGTACCATTACTAGGTCGCGAGTGGTTGAAACAATTATACATGGACGTTATTGTAGTGAATTCGCTTAAAAAGTGCGTTTATAGTGAATTACAGTGTGGTTTGAGGTTCAATAAAGACCTCTTCATAAAAGCGTTTCCTACAGTGTTTAGTGGTAAGCTCGGGAAATTAGTTAGTGAACGCGCGACTCTTCGCGTTTGCGACGGCCGCTTCCGCTGGCGCTGAGGCCGCGCGTCGACGACGAGTTGCAGCGTATGGAGAAGGAAGGTATTATCTCACCTATTACATCCTCAGACTGGGCTTCATGTTTGGTAGTCGTGTTAAAAAGTAATGGGTCTTTAAGAATTTGCGGGGAATTTAAGAGTACGATCAATCCCGTCTTGGAAGTAGATACCCGCTTCCCCGAGCTGAACATCTATTTAAAAATTTAAAGGGGGGGGGGGGGGAAAGATTTACTAAAATAGATTTGTCTGAAGCATACAGCCAGATTTGTTTAGATGAATCAAAAAATACACTGTAGTTAACACTCATCCCGGATTATATGTTTATTAGTAGATGCCGATTAGAATATGGATTGGCGTCGGCCCCGTCTATTTTCCAAAGAATAATGGAACGTGTGATTGCTGGTATTCCACATGTTAACAATCTGCTTGATGATATTTTAATTACAGGGTCTACAGAGAAGGACCATATTCGTAATCTAACAACGGTCTTTGAGAGATTAGTGTCAGAGGGGCTTACTATTCATAAAGAAAAATGTACTTTCTCTGCTTCTTCTTTCTTCTAAAGAGGTCAGTTATTTAGGATTCTTCATATCAGAGCAGGGTATTCGTACGGACAAGAAAAAAGTTGAAGTACTCAATGCTCCGGAACTTACCAATATTAGTGAGTTAAAAGCTTTCATTGGTATGGTGAATTTTTATGCTAAATTTATTAAAAATTTGTCAGAAATCTTATCGCCTCTTTATAGACTTCTTAGGAAGGATGTCTCTTGGCAATGGTCGAATGAGGAGCAACAATCATTCTTAAATATAAAAAAGGCATTAACTACTTGCCCCGTGTTAAGGCATTATGACGAAAACCTGCCTCTCATATTGTAGTGTGACGCGAGCGCACGGGGAGTAGGCGCGGTGTTAATGCAGCGCGAGGAGGACGGGACCGAGCGGCC